GTAAGCTAATGGTGATAGCTAGTAGTTACCTGCCCAGGTATTATGGAGCAACGTAGTTTTCTGGACTACTGCTTTACCTGGTCTGGTACTATGGCTACTTGGCTAATGTAGTTTTCTGGACGCTAAGAGTTAAATGACCAGATTCTGATGATTGTCTGTCATATTCTCCTGGCAGTAACCTGACAAGGTGTTAGGATCAACAGGTCACTGAGAAATACTGGTTAGCTAGTTCTGTCAATGCTGGCGACCTAACTGTAGCTGTCAGGGCAGAAAGCTAATGTTAGCAGGCTAACTGTTCTAATAGGCCAGTTTGTTTTAGCCGGTTTTAGCCATAATATCCTGCCAAGTGTAGTATTAACTGTTATCAAAACAAAAAGCTCATGTTTAGCTGCCCATCTAGTTTTCTGGGCAGCTTCCAGTTAGATGAACAGATGCTGTGCAGCCACATTAAACTGTTAACAAGCAGCCAAAACCCCTTGTGACTACTGCAGAGCTCAAACAAAACAAACCAAAACAAACCCTGACAGCCTTCAAAAGCATTATCTCCAAATAAAACCAATTACTAATAATGATGGGCTTTCGTTGCACAGTAACAACTCATGCAGTACAAATACTCCATCTCCAACAAGAACTAGTTATAGAAACACACAGTAACAATCTGCTACCAAAGCTTTTATTAAGGGACGTGGACCAGCATGCTTCTGGTCAGAAGTGCAGCTTTAGGTTAAGATGAATTATAAAAACAATATATTTAAAGTTTGAAGGAGGAGGATGATGATGTCATAAATGTGGGATTATACTTGTCAAATGTAGTGACCTCCTTGAAAGGAGGCAGGCTGGAGTAGGAACATTTCTCAGAATTAAACACTTTAGGAATTTGTCATTTCTAATTTAAAATGATTGCAGTAGCTTACTTTGTCACTAAGTCTTATCATGACTTTTTTGACCATTTAACTGTACTTTTTACATTTATCACATTATCCAGCTGTGATGAATTTTCTTACAAACTTCACCTTTGTTGCGGCTCTGGACTGGGCTCCAAACTGACATTTGACCCAGAAATGCATAGGGAGAATGGATGACTGCACATACATACATAGAAACCAACAGAGAAGTTTGGAAGGCTTTTCTCAGCATGTTGTCATTTTTGTTCCTTTACAAAAAAATTTTTTTTGCCAACTTGATATTGTTAAAAAAACACTCAGACAAGTTTTGTTCCATTGTACATGAAAATAGTTACAGTGCATGGTATCCAACAGTGTGCTTCTCTTTTGTAGCAAGTGCTAGGAAAGACAGTAATATCCCTTTATACAGTTATTTATGAAAAAGTAGTCTTTCTCTGGCCAAGTCACAAAACTGAGTTTATGACGTGGGGGGGGGGAGCAGCCCACAGATGGAATCACTGAACAACCCAGTGTCCACCACTTAGCTCTTTGTCACACACACATCAAAAGACTCAGCAGCTTTATCAGGTATTCAGACCTCTTCATCTTCTTCTCACACTTTGGGCCCTACCTCACAACAAACGCGTGGCGTGCGGCGCTGGTAGCGCGTCTGTTTCCTAATTTCCTAGCTGCACAATTACTGTTTTCATGACATGCACATTGCGTTGCCTTTTTACCAGGCAGCGGTCTGTCGACTTCGGGCTGGCAGGTGTGTCCAGATGAAACGGGGGTGTGTCCAGATGAAACGGGGGTGTGTCCAGGTAAATTTTGGGGTGTTGGTAATATGAGGGCGCACAGCATGACTGTGCCATTGGCCAGGGAAACCATGTCTGTGGCCAGCAGTCTAATCATTGTTGCTTGTTAATGGGTGCTTTGCTGTGATACGCGCGCCTGTCTAGGTGCGTGCACAGTGCTCGTTATACACCGGGACGCGCTGCGCAGGACATGCAAAACTTAAAAAAATAAAAAGATGCCATTGAGCTCATTGGGTGTTGTGCACATCTGTATATAAGTGTGTATATAATAAAAACCGTTTTGACTAGTGATCGTGTGTCTTCACCCCGCGCACAAGCAGATCTGGTTCCTCAGTAGAAAATCTTACTGACGTCCAACTTGGCAAGTCCACCAGTGTCAACAATCCGCCACACGTTCATTAAAGGGGCGGTGAGGTTACACACTGATTGGATAAACGCACCCCTAATGAGGAGATGAAGTGCAGGCCTTGTTCTACTTGCATGGCTCCTTGTCCTCAGATTAAAGAAATGGACTTGGACCCACCCACGGGCCACTTACATCTTGGACAGACGCTGTGGATCCTCAAAATGGGGCTCTCTGTGTTTTTCCTTTATTTTTGAAGGGATGAAATAACCTTTTAGCACTTCTATGTTCAGTATCCCCTAATGGCAAAATGCAAACATATTTTCAGAAAATTATTAATTAAAAAACTGAATTCTCTCGGTTACAAAAGCAAATAAGTGAAGAGGTCTGAACAGCTGTGCCACTGTAGTACACAGTGACAATACGTATACACAAAGACTCCCTCATTCTCTCTCACAGGGGTGGTCTCAAAGAGAGCAGCTGGATTCTGGCTGTATTATGTAATGACATGAGGAAAGAG